CCTCCATACACATCCAATCCAAAATATTTGTGTTAAAATATCATTCATGATCAATAGATCAGCCTGATCTATATCAAATTAAATTGGTTTAATGAGGTCAATCACCTGGGTGAGAAGAAATAAACAGATGAATTATTTGGAGGGCTGTCTTCCCATTTTTCATCCCAGCAATGGAAAGATGTGAACCTGCAGTGGGATCCAGATGCTTATGGAGGCATCAAAAAGATCCGAATTCCTTCAACAGACATTTGGAAACCCGACTTAGTTCTGTACAACAAGTAAGCAGAACTGCTGCTCTGGTTTATACAGACATCGACTCTCAGCTCTAGCTAACTGAATATGTGGTCACACTCTGTCTGCCCTCTGCTTCCTTCCTGTTCCTCGTTCCAGTGCTGATGGGGATTTTGCCATCATCCATGAGACCAAAGTCCTGCTGGAGCATACGGGCATGATAACATGGAACCCACCTGCAATCTACAAGAGTTACTGCGAGATCATTGTCCTTCATTTCCCGTTTGACCTCCAGAACTGCAGCATGAAACTGGGTACCTGGACGTATGACGGCACACTAGTCATCATCAACCCAGTAAGAGTCCAGCTTTTACTTTTAAGTCATAATTACAGACTACTTTATGTTGGGTTCACTTATAAGATCCCAATAAAACACATTGATGATCATTGTGATGTGATGAAACATGAAGTTCAATGAGTGTTTGCATGTCTTAAGTTTGCTTTCTGGCTTTAGGACAGTGACCGACCGGACCTCAGTAACTTCATGGAGTCGGGTGAATGGGTGTTGAAGGACTACAGGAGCTGGAAACACTGGGTTTACTATACATGCTGCCCTGACACGCCCTATCTGGACATCACCTACCATTTCCTGATGCTGCGGCTTCCCCTTTATTTCATTGTCAATGTCATAATTCCCTGCATGCTGTTCTCCTTTCTCACTGGACTCGTCTTCTACCTCCCTACTGATTCAGGTAGGTAAATGTAGAAACAGCAGCCATTTTCTTTGACCATGTAAGGGAATAATTCATTTTCAAAGTTCTCACAATGAATGTGCAGAAGCATGCATTGATGTGACTCTTACAGAGAGTGTTTGCTGAGTTTCAAAGAGGTGAAAAGAGAACAGCCATAAAATAATGTGGGAACCTGGAAAGAAAACATTTTTAAAAGAAAGAAAGCACAGAAAAGTTAACCTATGAAATGACATGAGAGAGCCAGCAACAACGCTTTAATAATAGAAAAAAAGCCTTTCCTGATTTTTTTTTTCCCTCTGACATTTTGAGTTTAAAGTATTGTTTCACAAAAGTTGTAGTTCATATTTATAAATTTAATAGTGTGTTGATACTTTAGAGATGAATTTTATGAAGTAGGGAAAAAGTAAAACACTGACATGCATGTGTATTTATCTTGGTGGCGAATTGTGTCTCATGGTAAACAAAAAATGTCAGATGGCCAGATTATTATTATTATTATTATTAGTAGTAGTAGTAGTAGTATTTTTATTATTATTCATAATAAATGCAGGAAAAAATTGGTGAACTAAAGTATTAAAACAAATAGTCAGATATGGGTGGGAAGAGTAAGTTGGTGCAATTACATCAATTATTGCTGTCAAAGCAGCACAATAATGTATTTCACTCATAAATGCATAGAAACTTTAGTCTGACCTGTCAGTGATCCATTATGGTTCCCAATGTTTCATTGTGATTGTTAATTTCAGAAGACATGCTTTAGAGTTTAGTGAACTTTTAACTAAGCAACAAAGTGCCTCAAAAAACATGAACATGTCATGCTACTGGCTGGTATTTGCAAAGTAGCCAATTCAGGAGCGCCGTCTGTTTTCCCTGGAACTGATTGGTTGAACCTCCAAGATACAACCAATCTGTCGAACCAATCTGCTCTCCAAGAGAGATTACTGTAGATGTTAGCTTCTACAGTAACATCTACAGTGCTAACAGAATTTCCACTGTGTGTATTAAAGCATATTTTGGTATATTTAGTGTTAGAACTATCAAAATAGGCCATATACATTTTTAGAGGGAGTCTCAAGTATTTATGAATTGCAGTCAGCTGATGTTTCTAATTCCTGTTATTCCCTCTGTAGTTGGTTTTATGATAAAGGTTTTGAGAGAGGAAAACAGGATCCTGCCAAACAGACAATTATTGTTACTAATAACTGGACAAAAAAAACCTTTTTTGCTAATATAACCCCTTTATGAAACATCGGTGCTTTACACCATACCTTCCACATGATGAAAGTGCAGTGTGGTGTTGTGTTGAGGTGCTTTGCTGTTACCTGCATTGTGTTTTCAGACATGTTTTCTTTTCTCCCTGACTCAAGGCGAGAAGATGACGCTGTCCATCTCTGTCCTGTTGTCTTTGACTGTCTTCCTGCTGGTCATCGTTGAGCTGATTCCCTCCACTTCCAGCGCCGTCCCTCTCATAGGGAAATACATGCTCTTCACCATGGTTTTTGTGATCGCCTCCATCATCATCACGGTCATCGTCATCAACACACACCACCGCTCGCCCAGCACACACACCATGCCTGCCTGGATACGCAAGGTTCATGCTGTTTGCTCTGTGGTGGAAAGTGAGAAACGACGCATCTGTTCCATAAGGAGCTGAACTTGATCAGTTTTGTTTTTTTTCTGTGTCCTGTTAGGTCTTCATTGAAACCATTCCAAACATGATGTTTTTCTCAACAATGAAGCGACCCAGTCAGGAGATCAACCAGAAGAGACTGTTCCCTACTGACATGGACATATCAGACATTTCAGGCAAGACACTTTAAGCACTATAGCACAGAACCAAGTAAGTTGATAGTAAAAAAGAAAGTACAGAACCTGAGAGATGGTCCATCTTATATTGGGTGAAAATGTAATTTCTCTGAAACTTTCTCATTCTGATTTTTCATGACTTCACCTAAAGAAGTTTGATTGTTGACAGGTTGCACTTAATAAAGGGCTGATTCATCCTTCTAGTTCTGGAGTCGTTCCATCCACTCTGTTCTTACAATCCAAAATGGCAGACTAACTAACTAACCGCCGTCTCTCCTCTACAGGTAACCCCACCCCAGCCAGTGTAACCTATAAGTCTCCCATCATGAAGAACCCTGATGTTCGCAGTGCCATCGAAGGAGTGAAGTACATTGCTGAAACCATGAAGTCAGATGAGGAATCTAACAATGTAAGACATTGTCTGCACATCTGATGGTGACATTTTGGATTTAGACAGAGAAGGATCGAGACAAATGTTTACAAAAGTCAAGAAGCGTTTCGGTCCTTCAGTGCTAAGGACTACTGGAAATCCTGCAGACCTTCTCACAGTCTGCCGTAGAGAATGTGATCTCATTGGCTATCGTCTGTTAGGGTAGCAGCATCAGATTCAGGGACTGAAAAACTAATGAAGAAAAGTTGTTGTTTTCTGGAGATTGTTCTTGATCCTCTGAAAATGAATGTGTAAGGAATCAGAGAATCCATCTTACTACTAGCTTTCACCTCCTACAGTGAAGAAACATGTAATAGATGAGTTTGTATGAGTTCCAAAAAATAACACCTTTCTTCTTGATCAATAAAATATTTAGAATATAAATTGAATATTATAGAATCAAATAACAAACATTATCAAGTTTTTTTTAGGGATGTAGTCTTCTGAGTAAAATACAGCTGTTAAGTGGTGAAAGCTGCTAATTGACAGTAGATACCAGAGTAGCATAACTCTCAAATAAAAACATAACATTTATTATTGTGAAATACAGTTTTAATCATTTGCAAACCAGTTTTCCATTGCAGTTTCTGCCTCCAAGTTTGAAGACACCTAAACCCAATGACATACGTCTTCTCATTTCACTGCAGGCGGCAGAAGAATGGAAGTTTGTGGCGATGGTTTTGGATCACATCCTGCTGTGCGTCTTCATGGCCGTGTGCATCATCGGAACGCTTGCCGTCTTCGCTGGGAGACTCATAGAGCTCAACATGCTATGAAAAGCTAACCCACAAAGGAGGATGCGTACAATACAGTTAGAAGCCATGCTTTGAGAGGGATCAGAACGGTTCGTTTGTGGACCTTTCGAGGTCGTGATATTGACGCGGTCTGTGTGGCATTTCTGGCACATGAAGGCTGAGCTGGAAGCTAAAACGCTGTAAGGAGCCCAGAGTCTGGAGTCACGTTTGAGGGATTGTGTTTTTACTAAGAGGGATGAAACTTCAGCAGCAACTTAACTGTCCATTCATAAATACATACCATTTTTGTTATGAATGGATTTTATTAGATTGTTATTGTAACCTTGTTGGTAATGCAGGGTGTATCATTACTCTGATGTGTAAAATACTTTTCTTTTTTTTGACAGAATATTGTGTTCTCATAATCTTCTAATGCAGGCAAAATATTTCCTAACCAGAAGTTTTATTTATTGGTTTTGCCTGAGTCATTGATGATTTACGTTTTTGTGTATACTGTCACATGTAATTGCGATTTTAGTTGATATTCAGAAGAAAAAAGTTAGTTATCTGAAATTTATACCATCATAGTTCTACCAATATTTCTCTTGTAAAATGTTTTTGTGTTAAAAGTTGTTTTCGGCCAACAGTTTTGATTTTCAAGCAAATCAGCTTACGTTTTTTTCCCCTAATGTTTGAGCCACGTTTTCTTTTGTAGATTTTACCTTCAGCAGTTCCCAGCTGAAAAGTTCAGCTCAAATTATTATCATCACTGGGAATTCATTTTTTCGTTTTAAGTTAATGCATCTCAATTATTACCTTGCAAGTGCATAAGATGCATCTCAGACCTGAAATAGAGGAAAACAGAAAAAAAAAAAACTTTAATTTTAAATTTGTAAGTTTTCTCAGGCAAAGGAACCTGAATCTGAATCTACTCTGAATCATATATTATTGTGTAGATGTGGAAATAAATTAAGAAATTTTATATTTTGCAGTGTCATTAGTAACACTGACACTTTTCTTCTGTTTTAACCACAAATTCATTCAAAATGTAGCAAGTTGTTTTATTTAACTAAATCAAAACAGATGAAAAACACTGGGTCTATGGAGTCAAAATAAATACATATTTTTTTCTCTTCTGCTGAAAATGCTTTGGATTTGTAATCAAAAATGCACCAATAAGTTAACCAAGCAAAGGTAACTGAAAATATACAGTAAAGAGCTTTATTAAAGTAATAATTTACTCAGTAATAGACTTGAATTTAAAGCTTCTCCTACTAACGTGCATTTTGCTAAAAAGGATATCTCCCAATGGCAGCATTCAGAGAATCACTCATCAATCAGGAAGGCTGGGTAAAATGAAGGAATACTGGAAAGTTTTCAGAAATCCCTATTCAGGTTTAAAATAAAACATAAAAATAAAAAAAATCAATGAAGTAACAATGACTTTCTGCAAATAGCGCAGCTAAAATTCATGAAGTCTATCAGTAACATTCAGATGATGAAGTTAAACTAAACTTTTTGTGACAAAAGGAGATTTGGGTTTAAAAACAGCAGTAAACAGTCACAATGGCAAGCTGCTCTTTGAAACGGATAGGATCAGCACAGTAAACGCAGACTGGAAATATAAACAAAAATAAATTAATTCAGTACAGAAAAAAAAACATTTGGCAAATCTTCCCCTGAATGAGGATAAATATGAGTGAGAGTCCTTCAAGCACAAACAGGTTTGATTTCATTGTTTCCACGGCTCATAAAACGCCACCGAGTCTCTGAACTAAAATCCAACAACTTTCTCTAAATATGTACAATCACAGTACATCCTCTCTCACTTCCAGTGTCGTGTATTAAGACCTCATAAAATAATGTTTACAAGTTTCTAAAATTTCTAAAAACCTGTAGAAATTTGTGAAAAAAATAAAAAAACAACAATGAAGAAATTAAGTGTAATCATTAATGAAGCCAAACTGATAAATATTTTTTAAATATGACAAATAAAAGCTTGACAACAAACTCTGCTGTTTCCACAAAATTCCAGAGAGAAAGGGGCAGCCATGACGCCCCAATTGATTAACTGATTATTATTATTATTAAGAAAGTGGATTTTGAGTGTTTTCTGCTCTGGAACAAAGGTTTGTGTCAAGACCAATAAGGAGAGAAATCAGCTGATATATTTAAGGAAATAGCTGCATTAGACTCATTTTGGAGCTCATCTTTATATCAAAGGGTTCTGGACTCAGACGTGACTCAGCCGGTCTGAACTGGGCCTGAACTGGGTCAAAACACAGCAGCATGAAACAGAAAAGAAGAAATGTGGTCCAGTCAAAGTCAAGACCTGATTGAAAAGCGTAAATATTTTTTTGATTGATCTTATGTAATATTCTAACTCTCAGACTCTGCACTCAAGCAATTTTTTATCTGTAATAAAATATTGCAGGGATTGAAAAATTTCTCTCCATGTTTAATGAATCCATAAGAATTTAAGTCTCTGAAATGAAGGTCCAGTTTTCTGGCAATGCTCTAATTTTCCAAGATACATCTATAAATGCCAAATTATGTTCAGGTCAATTCGAAAACAAAATCAAATAAAATTAATTTGACCCTCAGGGTGAAGTAAGAGGACCCTAAAAGTTCCTTCCTAAACCAAATCGAGAAACATTAAAATATATATATTCTATTACTCATTTTATTATGAAATAATGTAGAAAATAAGTTATTTCAGCAGAATTAAATCAAAGGCATACATTTGTCTTAAACATAATCCTAAATAGTGGATGTATTAATGATAATGGCCTTAACTTTCCACATGGAGTCACTGCAGTTCACTAAACCTAAAGGTTTCATTAAATAGACTAAATGAGTTATAATAAACTGCAGGTTTTGAGATCAAATCCTGTGTGGATCGATCAAACTGATGGGACAGAATTTAGTTGTATCATCAACTCTTCAGTATTCTACAACTTTAAACCTAAAATAATTTTATTGTGGAACTCTTCAAATAGCCTACGTGAAAGATGGAGGTTTGATTTCCCAGAAAGCATCACTGACAGGATCAATCATCAGCCTGAATCTTCACTTTCCACCCATGTAATAAACCTAAAATCATATGACCACCAAACCAGTTACTTTAGCCAATCCTGTTGGAATAAAGCGTGCTCGTCAGCGTTGTTTTGCCTTTGGAGCCATCTGTCATGGTTGCTCTTCATCTGGTTGGTCTCAGCACTCTCTATGTTGCTGGAGGTTCTTCATTCTAGCTCTGGTCCAGTTCCTTTTCTTCTTTAACTGCTTCATCTTCCTTTTTCTCCTCCTCTTCCTCCTTCTGCTGTTTCTCCTCCAGTACATTCTCCTCTTCCTCAGAGTCCCTGTCATGCTGACCCAGGTCTTCCTCAGCTGTGGACAAGATGTAGTGAGTGAGAGGGAACAAACTAAGCATTTACCTGTTAGACACCATGAGAATTTTTTTTTGTTTCCTGTTGGCAAAAAGTGAAAAGGAAGTGATGAAGTGCGTAACCACCCTCCATCCAAACCAGTTGCTCTCTGTCCAAAATGATCAAATAAATTGCAAAACATGTGTCATTACTTCCTTGCTTTTACACATTTGGTAAATGAAGACACAGAAGTTGTTCTAAAATTAATATTTACAGAAAATACAATTCACAAATCAAACATTTTTTTCAGTTGTTGGTAATGGAAAAAACGTAAAACAGAGATGGGATGGGATGGGATGGGGTGGGATGGGGTTTGGTTTGCGAAACTTTAATTAGAACATCAAAATGCTGACATCTCTTTGTAATACATCACAACTACCACTAGAGGGTGGTAGCTGATAATGTACCAACAAGTGACAAATTGGTAGGTTACCAAATTTTGCGGCTTTAGCAATTTCATAAGTATTCTTTTTATTGTATTGATTTTGTAAAGTTTGATTATTTGCTAAAGGCCTCGACATCAACTTTTAGTTTACTGGTTTGTGTTCTTCCCCCCCAAACAACTTTCATGGATAAATCTCTGTTGTAAAGAGAAGAACAGAATGAAGAACATCAGCAAGCACAAGAATGTAAAGTAGGATTACAGAAACAAAAACAAAAGAAAGAAAAATGAATAATAAATTGTACAAGAAAGAAAAGAACAGGGAAAAATAAAGGGTGACCAGGAATAAAATGGAAAAAAACAGGGCAGAAAGGAAGAAAATGAACTGGACCATGAAATATAAAAAAAAAAATAATATTTTTTCTACTTATAAAGGAACAAAGGTTTGAAGCTTACTTTCTTAAGGAAAGAAGTGAACAACCACAAAAAAAGACCATTGGGAAGAAAGGAAGGAGATGAGAATGAAGAAAGGCAAGAAGGAGAAGTGAAGAAAAAGCAAGAAGAAAAGAATGCAGGAAAGGAAGGACACATGGAGATAATGTGGTTAGGGGACAAAGATCGAAAGGACAGGAGGAAGTAAGAAAAGACAGTCCTGTAAAAAGCAGAAGCTTTAACTAATGGTATACTAACAGGTGTAAAGAAAAAGCACTTTAAACAGATGCAAAGTGTCTTCAAAACATAACAGAAAAATAAATAAAAAAAGGATGAAAATAAATATAGAACTAAAGCTTGAATAGGTTCAGGTAAAACCTACATATGTTTTCAATTCATCCGACCCATGTTGGGGTCATGGGTGAAAAGAAAGAACAGCTATCACATAAACTTTCATTTTCGTACTTTGGGTCAACCCTTTGTCTTCTCCTGTTTGTGTTCAAATGTCTGTTATTGTTGGTACCTCCACTGGGGGCAGCAGTCTCCTCCGTGTCCGTCTCGAAGCAAAGCGACGGTCCAGGAGAGCACGGATCCGCTCTCAGCCTCCTTTCATAGCTGAACTCAGGGAGCCTGGGAGCCTGAGGTCGAGTCTTCCTGGCCGGGTTCAGGAAGTAGCAGTACGCGCAACGGAATGCTGATGGGAGACGTCGGAAAACGGGAAGCGGGATTCAACAATCGCAAAAGAGACGTGGCCAATTCAGTGGGTGATTTTGATCTTACCGAGATATTCAAATTCTTCTTTCAAAGCCATGCCGTTATGAGAGAAACACTGCTGGCAGATCAGGGCATATCTGCAACAATGTTCCAGAAGATTTAATGGATGGTCGGTTCAGTTGAATTAGTTCTTTTAATGCAACGTTCCTAAGGAACAAACTGAAAGCTACCAACAAAACTAGGCAGTACAGAATTTGTTATTACACACAGTCAGTGTTAGAAGTTTCTTTTCTGACTTTAAAATGTACAAACATACCTGACAACTAATCTTCTCAGACTGTATCTAAATTGGCTGGTTATCTATCAAATTCTTTCTTTTAAGCACAAGATACAAATGTCCAAGAGGGCCGAGTTCAGCTCCATTACTGAAATTCAGTTCAAGCTTTAATTTTCCATTCAAATAAAATACGTTTATCTGGGTCATTTTCTACTGATTGTATTCATGTTCCAACTATTTAACTCTTGATTTGATTAAAACTTAGAGATTTTGGATGAAGTTGCTCCAACTGAATAATGACCTCAAACACATCAAAACCGGTTTTGAAACATAGTTTCTGAAGTTTTCCAGGCAACTCAAACATCTGTAGACCATACTTGAAAGTTTAGTTCTGTACTAATGTTACGTTCACACAGCAGGCAAATGTGACTCAAGTCAGATTTTGTGCCTAAAAGCAATCTAAATTAAACTCTTTTATGACCTGCTGAATGGCACAATTCAATCATTTGACCCTTCTAAAGATCTAATCAATGCCACTTCCACATGTTGGAACTGAATCGGATTTGTATTCAATAGTTTTCATAGTTAGAATGCATTCTGAACGGTCATGCTGGATTATATCCAACATTTATGTCATTGATATTAGCCATAATTCTGCACAAGAAGTCATATTCTGTAAATAATAGCTGAGAATTATAATTTAAAACAGTCTTCTCCTCTATATGACTTTCCAGTTTGAATTTGATTAAGACAGCAATAGTGGAACTTAATAAGTTTGTTGGGGAGTACAAGTTACAAAACCTAATCTATTATAGGCTCTAAGTCAATAGTGGGTCTTCTACCTTTTCTCTGGTCCGTCTCCTACCAGATACTCGATGACTCGGTCAACTGTTCCTCTTTCTCTGGGCAGAATAGGTCTTGGTAATGAAGGACCAGGGGAGTAAATGCCTGCAACCAAACAGACCAAATGCACAGAAATAATTATAGAAAAATCCAAACATACAACCTTTATACATAAACTAATAATACAGAACACATAAAACTAAATCCAACCCCCCCAAAAAGCAGAATATTTGATATTTCTTGTCACTTGGCTTCAGAAAGTGAAACTCGTACATAAAAGGTCCTGCAGATGCCGTATTCTTCAGTTCATGGGAACATACCTACACCTCTAATCGGGGTGCAGGGTGTCCTCTCTACAGCTCCCTGGAGTACAGAAGTGTTGGGGGTGGATTTCTCTGGAGGTCCTCCTGGAGCTGACAGAGAAACAACTGATGGAAAAGTAAAAGCTGACAAAAGACACTCAAAATGTAGAAGAACTCAGTTAAAAAGGACACTTTAACTGAGTTAAGGTTGAATGAGCTGTTCATTCCAGTAGCCCTTGACTTAACTTTTCTTATACGATCTATAGTTCCTAGAACCTCAAGGGTGTGATGTTGGTTAGAGATACAAGTTCTCATAGACAGCTACAATTAGCAGCTAAGGTAGTAGCATCAAACATTTCAGCAGACTACAACAGTTCACAATCCTGATCTTCCAGGCCAAGGAGAGGCACCTGGCCAGGCTGCAGCAACATGTGGATTGTCCTACTGAGCTATGACGTACAATAGATGAATGCTATGGTAATGTTGTAGATGGTTTATATGCAATCAACGTAGGAAAACATCCTCTTACCCACTGGTCCCATCTGAGGCCGTGTACCTGGTGAGAGAGTCATTCCTGTGCTATCCGGGGAGCACATCGCTCTCATACCTGCACCCCTTTGACGAATTTCTGCTGAAAAGACACAACTTTGTACTTCCTTTGCTGATCTAATGACACAATTCAGGAATCCAGGTTTTCTGAATAACTGTCATGTCACTGAAATAAACTTTATTATGCATTTCAAAAAATTATTCTCAGTATGTAGATCTATAACACACAGAGCGATGCTTTTCAAGCAAATATTGCAGTTAAGTTCACAATTGTGGCTTACGACTGATGGTGTGCAAAATTCAGCTACATAATGTAAACATCAAACAAAACAAATTTCTTTGTTCCAGAAAAAATATGGCTGCCTGGCACAACTGTGTGGAAGAGTTCTGACTTGACATCCCACACAAGAAGGGCAAGCAAGACAAGTTCAAGACTGAAGAAGGAGTGTGTTCAGAGGGCAAGCAGTCCAGACCAACTCTGACTCTGAGAAACTGATGCTTAGATTAGATCCATAAAAACAAAATGTTTTATTTATTGTGTTTGTTAAAAATTTAAAGTTTGACTAAAATATTATTCAAAAGTAAGAATCTTTTGTAACAGAATATATACATTTAAGTAAGTATAAGGCTTCTCGTATAGGAAACACTGAATGCAAAAGAAAATGTTGAATGTTTTAACATTTTAAACATTTCTTTTTGCCAAGTAATGTTAACATATGGGGCTGCAGGCGATAGTAAAATAAGAGCCGTTTGGGAGCCAACACCAAAAATTCCCCTCACTATCAACGATAAGCCAGAATCATCAAAAGCAATATATATATATATATATCATGTTTAAACTACAAAATCCTGTGTGAAATACATCTATAGAATGTATTAGTTTCACTTTTATAATTGACTTTAATGATATTCAAATTTATTATGCTAATTCATTATATGCCCAGAACTGGTTGGTTTTAGATAGCTACAGCCTTTAGCTAGAACCAACCATCTCTAGCTGTAGCTCATTTTAATAGCCAACAGCATAGCGCTGACTGGCGTACCTTGACCGGGTCTGGGAGTCAGCTGAGGACCCACCGGTGTCGACTCCAGTCTCTACAAAACAAACACGAGTAAAATACAAACAGAAATATGGCAGCAGGTAAATAGATGATGTAAAAAAGTCCAAGATCTCATCACTTACATGTCTGTTTTTAGCTTCAGGATCAAAGCGTTCGAGGATGAGTTTGGCATTCTTATATGTCTCTGTTTCCATCACTTCCTCCAGCTGAACTCAGAGAACCAGAGGAAACGTCGGTTGTAGGTCAGAAAATAAATTACATTCAGAATAAAAGCATTCAATAACCAAAAGGTTTATTAAATGAAACCAACCAAGTATTAGAGCTGTTGGCGTGGCAACACTCACTGAAAACGATGATGAAAATATCATTTTATTAATCAAAGTGAAGCAAACACAACTTACAATTTTTTTCCTGGCGGCTTTCAGATCTTCAAGTTTGTCATCTAAAAGAAGAACAAGACTAATTTCAGTTCAGTTTTTTACAGACTGAATATCTGCCATGTTTAGTGAAATGGATGTGAATGTTTATACACACAAAACAACTTCCTGACTTCTTTTTTGTTGTTTGCACCTTTGGCAACAAGGAGTGAATCGATTGCGGCTTTTTTGGCCGTTCACCGATTACCAATCTTTTAAAAAGCCTAATCTGCCGATTCCGATTTTGGCCGATACCAATTTTTTTCATGTTGCTCAACATAGCAAGAAAGCTGCTGAGGTGGCAACAGTGGGATATTCTCATATGGGGGAAGCCTTATATCCCAGTTATAAACTGTAAACATGCAGACATGACCTGGTGAGCCAAAATGCAAAATGCTGGGCAACATCAGATTGTTGATCATGTGACTCGTGTTGCAAAAAAAGTGCTTCTATTGCCGCTTTGCTAAGTAAACCAGTTTCAATACAGCCAAAAAAACATCTCATCCTAATACCAAAACTTTTGATTGAAAACCAGGTTGTTGTTTTTTTATTTATGAGTTTTTATTAATCAAATGTATTTTTCAAAATGAAAAATTCTATTGTCAATGAAGGAAAGGAACCTCAGAAGACTGAGAACTTACTGTTTCTCTCAGTAAGTTTGGAAAACAGGAAAAGCAGCAGCTTCCTGATAAACCACACACTGGAAAATATGGAAAAAAGACATTAAGACAGAGGTTAGTGTTTCACTCAACATTTTCAAACTTGTCTATTGGGGCTCTTGCCTCAGTTTTTATTGCCTTTAAATTCATAAACTGCAATCAAACCAATACAGAAAACACATTATAGGACAAATCTAAAATATCAACTGGACACAGTGATATTTAAAAGTCTGTTTGGATAGGTAATGAAAAACAAAGACTCACAGTATGGGGTATATAAAGAAAGGCAGGGCCATGGCTAGTCTCTGTAGCCATTCATCAGGTAGGTAGAGACAGTAAACGATGAAAGAAGTGAACAGGTAAAGAACAGATGAGTAAAGAATTAAGCGACCGACCCAGAGCTGCAGACAGATAGAATCACATCATTCAGGTCAAAGAACAAACAACTAAGGGTTACTCATGTTTGATGGTTTTCTGACTTTACTTTTTGTAATCGCTGATTTTTGCCTCTGAACTCCTCCAACTCCTTAATCTCCTATAGAAGACAATAATATTATAAACTTAATTTGGTGAAAAATAATAAAAGATTCATGTTCTAGAGGTTATGCTAGCCAAATTATACAGTGAGAAGAATCTGAAGCTTGTGTTAATTTATCACAAATGCAATTTTTACTGAGTCCAATAGAACTATTTCATCTGTACCTTCTCCAGGTTCTCCAGCTCCTGTACTGTGGTTTGTTTTGTCTGGAACGAGAATAAATGCCAACTTCATTAAGTCATTCGTTTATGAATCTTTCAGTAACATTTAAATAAAGCAAATGTATTGATAAAATTAATATTTTTGCCTGAATGTAAATTTCAAAATTTACATTCAGGAAAAATTCTATTATAATGTGCTTCATCAAGATTAAAACCATGAAATGTTCACTACAAACACAACCCCACACACCCTGATGTTTCTAATGAACAGGTTCATCTGTTCAAACGCTCACGTTCATCTATCTCCAACTTTTATCTTGATATTCATAATTCAATAAACTCTGACAACAACACAAAGCAGATGGTGAACAACATTTTACAAAAGTTTGACACATCAAAGTATTTCCTCATACTGTGGGTTTCTAAAACATAAGGTTTTATCACTGTGTATTTGTGAATCACATTTTTTGTACATTTTAGTACATGTTTAATGTTCCTTGACGAATGGATTTTGCTCATGGATTTAATGTGTCTAAAATAGGGTAGCAATAAGAAATCCACAGCTGATTTTCAGCTTTAGCATCCCCAGTATATTAAGGGTTACTAAAGCTGAAAATCAGCAGTGGATTTCTCTTTGGTAGGGCAGCTAAACAAAGCTTTCCATAAATTCAACATTTTGCAGACACTGCTCTACTTTTCCAAACCTAATTTCACCCTCCCTTCCTCACATGTTTTTCTGAGATTACATCTTGGTTCACATACAATTTTCTTAAATTAATACAGTGATGAAATCCTCCACATTAGTGCCAAATCTTCCCTATCTAGTTTATCCATTTCTGTCAACAAATTCTCTTTTTCTCCCTTCCTTCAGGTAAAACAATAGTCTTCTGTGTGGCAGTGGCTAATAAACAAAAAGGACTCAATAATAGCAGTTTGGCCTCAGAGTTGAAAATCAAGTCCAAGAAAACAAAAAAAGTTTGAAGAATCTATTTAAAATGTAAATATTTCCTTTTTGCTGAAGCAAACATTAAATAAATTTTTTTAAGGGTTTACGTACCTTCCATCGAGATATTAACGCCCCCATAACTGTGACAACGTTTCAGGTTCACTGAAAAACAGAAAGGTTTTAGGTTTTATGCTTTTAAAGAGACAAAACACAATCTTTACAGTTGCAGCATTTTATTTAACTGATGGTAAACTGCTCATGTGAACTTCCATGCTGCCAAGATTAAGAAAGCCTCCCTTAGGACTTTCTGTATTTAACCACTGCCTAAAGTTCATTTTACAAGGTTTTGAAAATACAACACACACATTGGCCTGGACAAACATACAGCAGGATAGAGTGATATCATAAAGACAAGTTTGGACATCTGGAAGTGTTTGCAGAGAAAAGCCACATGATTTCATATTACAGAATGGCCAAACTACCAACTGCAGGGCCTACAGGTGAAAAGAGCCTCAATAAGTAACCAGAAAATATCAAGTTTGTTATGCTGCATAAATGCATAATATTCCCAAACAAGTACTGAGAAACTACAAGTAAATCCAGTGAGTATTTCTTCCATGTTTTCCACCATTGTTTTTAAATCATCTAAGACTGATCATCTATGCGTTTCCAAGGTATTTTTTGTTTTACTGTCAGAATCTCATTGCATCCTCTGCTCATTTTAAACTCATCTACAATATCAGGCAGACTGACATTACAAAATTATTATTATAAGTTCTACACAATGTGCTTCATCATGATTAAAACCATGAAATGTTCACTACAAACACAACCCCACACACCCTGATGTTTCTAATAAATAACATATTCCCTCGTGACCTAATTTGCTCTCTTTGTATCAATATTATCCAAGACGAGTCCAAAAACAGTCACGGGACATGAACGTCTCATTCATAACGCAGCAGTAGTTTCTTCATTTTTCACTGGTCTGTTGGTGTTTGGTGCTTCACCTCCAGCAGCAGAGAAACAAAATCATCCCAGAAGAGTCAATGGTGACGGAGGCTAGCTAAACAGACAGCATGCTAACACCACCACAACGCAACACCGAGCCGTTTTATCTGGCCTTTCTGAGCCACACGTACCTCCAGCCTCTTGGAAATGTTTATTTCCTTTTTCTCAAACAGGCGAAATATCCTGATATAACCTCATTTAACTGACATGACAAAACCTTTACGTCACTTCCGCTTCTCAACCCGAAAGGCGGAAGTGACGTAGGATTACTATGCGCGCCATCAGATCTGATGGTTTATATTCCATCCAATACATTCTATGTGCATGTATAATACATGTTACGTTTATCGGCCAGAAGATTTCCTTAAATTTAGGAGATTGGTGATCGGCTGACATGTGAAGCTGATCTTACCCCCTGTTCTTATCCACCTCAGCAAAGGCTGAAAAATCAGCCACTGTCCTCTTCTGCTCCAGTTAAAAAGGTTTGACTGACTGACCAACCCATCAGGTCACGTCTGCATGTTTAAAGTTAGCAATAGTCGCCTTGCTGTTGCCAACTCAGTGACTTCCTTACTATATTTAGCAACATTTAAGACAAACAAATAAAGTATGAGCCAAAATCTTCAGGTAAACCTTTTTAAAGACAGGTAATTGGCAACCAGCCAGAAAACTCCAATTGGTGCAGCCCTACTTAAGATAGAATACATACATATTCATGACAAACTTTAATTGAAATAATTTTTCTTAGGCATAATTATAAATAGCTACAAATTTTATTTATACCTGGTGAATGTTAACTGGGATTCAGAGCTGATTCAGAGCCTTCAAATAATTTTAATAAGAAAAGTTAGAAGTTGATGTAAAAATACTTGTTTAACCAAAGAAATGATCATGATCAGCAGCAAACGACACATTGCCTCACAACTTAGAGAAAGTAGCTCATTGATATATTAATGCAGTAGGCATGTGTGCCTGATGTAAAATCATTTTGTCAAACATTGAGAAGTTTTAATGATTGTTATCAAACATGATCAAACACACTGCCTGAACCGTTCAAGGTCGCTATGAAGCTAAGTTTCTATTAGCAGCTCCTTTATCTTTCTGATAAATATTACATTATCAAGACACATGAAAACATACCTTTAGCTTGGCTTTTTTTTTCTAGTCTTCCTCTTTCTTATCTCTGTATCCATCCTTTTTGTGACATTATTTTGCTTACTTCCATCAGTGCTTTGGAGGTTTGGACTGCACTGCACATTGCACTGCTGCTCATATTACTGGTGATGTGAAATTTATATATATATAGTTATATATATACAGTACAGACCAAAAGTTTGAACACACCTTTTCATTCAATGAGTTTCCTTTATTTTCATGACTATTGACATTGTAGATTCACACTGAAGGCATCAAACTATGAATTAACACATGTGGAAATATGTACTGAACAAAACAGTTTTAAACAACTGAAAATACGCCTTATATTGTAGCAACCTTTAGCTGTGATCACTGCTTTGCACACACTCTGCATTCTCTTGATGAGCTTCAAGACGTCGTCACCTGAAATGGTTTTCACTGCACAGGTGCCCCGTCAGGTTAATAAGTGGCTTTCTTGCCTCATAATAAGATGTTTTTCTTTTACAAATCTAGCCTGATAAATAAAAAGCATTGACAGAAATAATTACAAATAAATATTTTGATGTCAAAGTTAAAATAAATTTCTACAATAATTACAAAATATTTTACATATATATTCATCCTCTTCAATTCAATATTAAATAGATTAGTTGGAAAATAGACATTCCTAGGCGGATGTAATCCCCAGAATTTTCTGCAGGAACAATATTTTACTTTTTTAAGCCTTCCAGCACCTGCTATTGAGAAGCACCCTCACATAATAATGCTGCCATCACCATGCTTAACAGCTTTCTTAATGGTCACCATTTAAAACAGAAACTTCCAGTTTACAAGAAAAGGAAACATAATTCTAGATGTTAGCAGCTTCCAGAAATGTCAAACATTGATTAAACATTTAAATTAAGTTTTAAAACATGTGAAAGTTTTTTTAATTGCAGGTGGCACAAAATCACATTTTAGCTTAAAGAAAAGATATGTTTAGAAAAACAGGAGCAACACTAACAGCTAATGGCCAGTGATTGAGAAAAACTGCCCTACATTTAAAGGAAAACACCAAGAGAGAAACACAACATCCTGACATTCAGTGTGAAACTTTGACTGGAAACAGAATAACAACATGTGGATCTTGGAATTATTCCAACTTCCATCTTTACAGAACTGGAAGAGGAAGAAGTTTCCTCTGAATTATTTAGAAGACTTTAAAACACCAACAGAATTACATGAATGTGAAAAATGTGTTTCTGAGTGAAAGAGAACGATAGAGACTGAACTACTTGTTTGAGAGTGACAACACTCCTCTGACAGGAGGAGGCCATTAAGGCTCAACTCAGGACAGAAGCACTGAGGAATAAACACTGAACCAAAATCCAGGATACAGAGGTTCAGTGAATTTAGTGTTGAAGGTGTGGAGGTGGATCAGTGAGTCAGAGGAAATGTTGTAGAAGGACAGAATGCCAGCATCACAGTCCACATACACTGCTACTCTGTTAGAGTGAGAGGAAGAGGGAATGTTTGTTGATTTGTTATTGTGCAAGGCAGTAAAACCACCTTTAAAACATCTCAGACACCAAGACTGATCATTCCATCCAAACCAACAGTCTCTTTTCCTCTTCATTCCTCTGTAACACACTGACATGTCAACATTTCCTTTCCACTCAACCTCCCAGTAACAGCGACCAGTCAGACCAGTTCTACACAGCAATTGAGCAGGATCAAATCTGTCTGGATGATCAGGATATGACTGAAACTCCTTCAAACGTGTCACCTTCCTGTTGTCTTCAGACAATGTGAGTTTTCTGCTCACTGAGTTTGTGTCAATGGTGAGTTCACAGGAATCTGATGGAGAGAGCAAACACCATCCAGCTGCAATTATTGATCATTTATTGACACTTTCATGATGACTCCAAAATGAATGATGTGATGTTTGAAGATGGTTGAATGTGAGCTGCTTTGTTTTTATGAATCAAATGAAACAAACACTTACACTTCCTCAGACCTGGTGTCAACCATCGGACTCCAGCAGGCTCCACACTGAAAGGAACAGGGGGATCAGACAATTGGTCTCTTTCAGTAAGTAGACATGTGTCTCTCACACACATTGTCCTACACTGAGGAAGAAACAATTAGTAACAGTAGTCAATTAAATATTATTTAACAGTAATCTTTTTAGTTATTAAAATGATCTGTAGCCAAACTAATCCTGCTATATCTCGATTGTCCACAGTTCTTTTATGTCATAGACTGCTTTGACCATGAAGATGTTTGATGTTTTAGATCAACATTTTCCCAGATTTCAAATATTTTCCTCGTGTAATCAACCAAGTTTATTTGTGTAGCATATTTCAGCAATAATGCAGTTCAAAGTGTTTTACATCACAAAAGCACAAAAATATAAAGTTGTTAAACAATAATCAACAATTGAGAAAACCAGTAATGAACATTACATTTTGATGAATGCCATCATCAAAATCATCAATACACATCAACCATGTTGGTCAATGTTCCTTTTAATTCAGCCACTGCAGATGACAAATACTCTCCTCAGATGCTCTGATGCTCCACCAAATTCCATACAGGAACCCATGAAGCATCACGGCTTCATTTTTATCTTGAAACCGACATGCAAAACGAAGCAGTCATGTGTTGGACATTGGTTCAGTCCAACTCTTACCTTTCCATCAGCCTCAGAATCTCACATATCAATGGTGACTCTCAAAGAGCTAAAGTTGTGATCTTTGTGGTTCTCTAAGGTGTGTTCCTTCCCACTAACATGTTTCAGAAATCGCAACTGGCCTTGCAACTCTCAGCAAGAAGCTGAGTGTTGCAGAGTTGAAAGAGTTTCTTCCGTCAGATTGACCTGAGGTTTCAGCTCACATAGCATTAAGTCTGAGCATTCAGAGCTCAGCATATTAAATCAGATTTGTTCAGTTGCTCGCTGATCCTTTTTTAGACTCAAGTTTCTGTTTGAGTCTGAGTCGAATTATGTTTATCTTTTAAATGCTTGCAACAGGTGCTTTTATTACATCCCAGTAGTATTACTGTCTCTGTGTTAGTGTTAGTCAGGTATGCCTTGATTGACTGCAGTTGGTCCAGAATGTTGTAGTTTGTCTTCTGACATGATCTCAGAGTCGTGAACAGACTCCTGGGTATATCTCTGACCTCCCAGTAGCTTAATGTGATCTCCAAATCTTTTTAGATCTTTCAATATTTGATTTTAGCTGAACCAAGATCTAGGCTGGTTCACATATGTGACTGAACATTTAGGGTTATAGACACTAAACTGCTGAATTATCTACACTTACACAACAGGCAAGCTCAAACTGTTGAGGTTTTGCTTTGCTGTCACTTTTTTCTGTCCATAACTTTGGGAAATATTGCATCCATTTTTAGTTTTTCAAATTAGATTAAACTCTAAATTGAACCATGGTCTTCTGTTTAAATCAACTCCCTACAGTAATGAGATGCAATATGGTTATCTTGTTAATTATTTTTAACATAATAAGTTATTATCAAATTCACTTTGAAGTTAGATATTATTTCTTCTCCTCCACCAGAGGCAGGTGCAAGAGGTTCCTCCATACCTGAGAACTTCCAGTCTCCAGTGTGGATCCTTCTGTCCTGCTAACAGCAGCTTCAGTCCTGAGCCTCCAGGATGATTGTAGCTCAGGTCCAACTCTTTCAGATGGGAGGGGTTAGAGGTCAGAGCTAAGGCCAGAGAGGCACAGCCTTCCTCTGAGATCAGGCAGCCTGACAAGCTGCAGAAATAAAGTGTTTTGTATCTATTTTGCAATTTTTTGCTGCTCATACTTATTACATGTCTGTAAGTTTTCTGTAGTTGACTTAAAATACTTTAGCAAATTTCACAGAAAACATTCAGCTTAAATAGTCACAGTGCATATTCATAGAAAATTGTACTTTTCTTATTGGAATAACATTTATAACATCTTTAACAGATGATAATTGACAGAAACTGAGAACATTTTACCTGAGAGTTTCCAGTTTGCAGTTTGGACTCTTCAGTCCAGCAGAGAGAAGCTTCACTCCTGAATACATCAGGTTGTTGTTACTCAGGTCCAGTTCTCTGA